AGGCGGGACTGTTCGCCTGCTCTCCTCGACATCCGAGCCTCGCCGTCGATCTCCATGTGCTGGACTTCGTCGCTCGTTTATTCGTTAATTTGCCCCCTAACAACACTGCCTTTTGCAATACGCTGGAAAGTTTCCTGTCGAGTCGGGGATATAAGTTAACTACCAAAGTATGTGATACGCGGCCCTCAGGGCGAGACCAGACTAACCTGAGGTTCATTCAGGATACCCTCCGCATCCGATTCGGCAACGCGCTGGAGTGGTATAGCAGCTTGCAACATGCGACCAATAGCAAAATCGACATGATCCTCGCTGCAGCGCGCGACGCCGTACGAGTGGACTCTCCTGATGGCCACGACAGCGCCGTCGAGAAGGCCAATGAAGATGAAGAGGGTGCGGCGTCTGCGTCGACGCGCTCCCGCTCCAGTACACCAGCGCCGTCGACACCGCGCCCAATCCCTTCAACGCCAACCGGTCGGCCTGTCCCCTCCGCTCCTTCCCGTGCCAGGCAACGCCGCAGGCCTGCCGCCGCCTCCCTCTCTGACAATGAGGATAGCGAGGAGGAAGCCACCCCACCATCGAATCCATTTCCCGAGCCTCCACCCCGTACGCGGCCCAGCGACTACCTCATTAGTCGATGTCCCGCATGTTTCGGCGGCCTCGTGCATGACCCATCGCAGCAGGTGGACATCCACGTATGTGCCGACGCATGTTTTACTCAGAAGCGCCGACGAAAAGGTGTCCACGATCCACCGCGCACCCATCCGAACACCGTCTTTGTCCCTGAGCCCACCGCTGATCAAATGGGGGCGCATGTGGATGACGTTCGGCCGTCCAGACCTCGTCCAACCAAACAGCCGTGAACAGATGAAGCGGAGGACAGCTACGAAGGTGCGAACCTGAAAGTTCCGCGCTCGGTGTTGGACGAGTGCGAATCATCTTTCAAAGCGGCGGATGAGAAGCGGGAGAAGGCCAGCACAAAGTTTTTCGATGATACAGGGATCATGGGGCTGCTGTGCCGCCACGACAGAGTCCTCTGGCTCGTCAACATGCGCACCGCTGGCGAGAAACAGTACTACGTACTTGTTCTCCTGGAGATGCTTTTCCAGCACCTGCCCGCAAACATCCGAGTAGGTGTATTATACGACATAGCGTGCCAATTGCATTGCTCTTGCGTCAAGTTCGGCTTTTTAGATCGGTACCTGGACCGCATCCAGTTTGCGGTCTCCGTCTTCCATGCCTTCGGGCACCGCTGGCCGTGTCAAATGATCTACCATCCCCTCAAGTGTTGCGGCTTTGGATTCACGAACGGAGAGGGATGCGAACACTTTTGGCATTCCATTAGCAAACTTATCGCGTATCTGCGTGTCTCTGGTGTGCGTCTAAGGGTTTATTCGTTCATTTTTGACCTGTAACTAATCTACTTGGCAGTATCACCATCGCCTCTACACCATCGACGTCCAGATCGAGCACGCGGATAAGGCCAGCCTGGGACGACTCGCAGGATGGCTCGTCTGCCGGTCGGCTCACTGTGAAGGGAAACTACGTGACGCGCTAGAAGACTTAACGTCGTGTGGCATTGCCGAGGACGTGTTGCGAGCAGAATGGGCAAAGCAAATCGCCGTACAGACCAAGCCCATGCGGCGTAAGCTACTTCCTAACCCATAGATAACGTGCGCTGACCGATTTATCAGGTCAATCGAAAACTGCAGGACAAGCTGCGGTTGAGCAAGTCCTGGAGGCTCGTCAGAAGGCACAGCAGCTGTTCGAGCGGGTGGCATCGCTGGGCGAACCTTTGCAGGAACGAGATTGCACAGATGACGTTCGTCTTTACGCCCAGATGCACCTGCCCGGAGCCCGCGAAGCATGGCAGGCTGCGAAAGCCCGGTCTATGCGACTCGAGCGCGAACTGGGAGTCACAGATTCCACGATGCTGAAGAAGCTCCAGCACAGTAAATATTATACAGTGCGCCTGAACGGGAGGGCATTGAAGGAGCGTTTGCGAGGGAAGCTGCGGGATCGGAAATTTGAGTTGGACCCGATAGAGCGGTCCTTTCGACGTACCAGAAGTGGTGTGTGGCTAGCATCCCCAGCATTTTCTTGCTTGCTCACTTTTTGTTCAGAGAATCAGCGCAACGAGCACGCGGGCCAAGCCATCAAGCGGCGCGAGCCTAATATCGCGAAGCTCGCCAACTCTTACAACAAAATCTGCGAAGAAATCGCCGCCCTGATTAAAGCCAAGCAAGCGCCGGCCGGAGCGGTGGCACCGCTGCCTGTTCCTTCAAAGGGGCTCTACCAGCTGGACGTCGACGACGTGATCTGGCAAGATTTGGGCTTGGACGACCAGGAGGGCACCCCGCCGCGGTGGCTTAGCGACGACAACGTACGGTCGGGCATCCGTGCCTTGCTGCAGAAGGATCGATGCGAGGAGGAGGCGCCCCGTTTGAAGAGAGAGCGGAAACACCTACAGATTTGGTTTGCCACCGAGTGGCAGGCGGTAGAACAGGTGATCTCACTGAGTGAAGGTATGTCGCTCACCTCCGTTCCTGGCGCAGAATACTCACCACCGAGACAGGTGCAATTAAATATCAGTTCCAGCTCCGGCGCAAGGAACTCATACGACTCTGCGTTCTGTGGAAGAAGTCCTTGGACCGTCTGCCGTTCGACGTGACCAACGTTCCGGAGTGGGGTCCCACGAGGGCGGAATTGCTGGCCTGCCAGATCGAGGAAGTTACGGCGTCCTGGGGCGACGGATACGACTCGGAGGACTCGGAGGACGACGAGTTGGAGGACGACGACGATTTGTTCCAGGTTTTAGAGGCTGTCGAGCGGGCGGATAATCACAGGGGTGGTGCCGACGAGGACGAGGGGATGTGGGCTTCTGACGACAATTTATTTGACGAATAACATGTATTTTGGGGCTCTTTGCGACGTGACGCGACGAGGCACGTGGTCGCGTTCCCGTGCCGAGGTTCTGCCGACGCCAGTCACCTCAAGTAACGCGCTGATGGTGACCGGCGCCTATTTCCCTCTTGCTCTCGACCACCACCATGTAATGTAGTCAGTAGTATTGTAATTGTGAAGCGTGCATGTACTGTAATCGAACAGATAATAATCGAGAAAGAGGACAAGACGAGAGGCAAGTAAATTTCGACAACTATAATCCAAACGAAGAACAATAAAGCGCGTACCATATGTGAGTACGATAGCCACATTAGAATCGATCGGACAGGCAAAGCGCTAATCGTACTTGGAAGTTTACCAGAACGGGCGCGTTAATGATGGAAAGTCGAGTTTACCCAAACGGGCGATGTGGACCTCGATCGCCGCAACAATGGTGTGGCCATGGGGTGGCCTCGGGTTATATAAACGGGAGGATCCCGGTACGTTCCTGCAGTCCCCTTTGACTTCCTGCACTAATGGCGCGCGCACAATCCCTCACAATCCCTCCTCACCAGCTACTTTCCTGTTATTCCCACTCCTGTCGCGCTTCGCGCCCCATCCCGCCCCAACCGCGCACCACGGGCCCTCCTGAGGCTTAGCCAGAGTGTGCTGTCCCAGTTCTTCCCGAATCCCGCCATGTACATCGGGGAGTTGGGTTCCACGGGGCACCTCGACCAGCGTCGTCTTCGGCAGTTGAGGCAGGAGCACGAAGAGCACCGCAGGATCGTCGAGCTCAACGCGCGCCCCGAGTTCCTCACCCGCGGCCCTCTGCGTGTTCACCGCGTCCCGCAGACCAACATTCAAGACCCCCTGCCGTTCCCGACGCCGACAACGCAACTTCATTATCAGATCAACGTACACGCCGTCGCTCGGCAGGCGGCCGCCGCGGCGCCCGTCCTGCAGGCACTCTGGGCGGACGACTATTTCGGTGAGTAGACCCTTGTGCCACCATGTTTTTTTTTTTGAAGCTAACTTTCATGATTCAGGTCGAGAACTACTGTACGCAGACGCAGATGTGATAGAACGTCACTTCAATGCTGGTATGCGGTCCTCATTTGCTTTTACTTGCCCCACTCACTATCTGGCTGCAGTGGATCGTGCTTTTACCGCTAGCTTGGGCCCGCGCGCCACTGCATATGGTGCGCGCGCTTCATTCGTCATCTATGCAATATGCTGATTTTATCTTCACTCAGTCGCCGATCATGGTGTAGCTGGCGGCTCCTTGCGCTTCTGGGTGCTCCCCACCGGAGTTACCGTCCGTGCGTCCCTTTTTCCACAATCCCCCAGTTCCTCACTGACTTATTTCGGTGTAGTGCATGGCCCTGGACTGGACGGATTCAACGCTGCCATGGTCGAGGACGATGCCGCTGCCGGCCAGGACGACCCTGAAGCCAGCTTCATCGAGGATGTCCCCGCCACCTCGGATGACATCTTCGACGATGCGGAGGTTCGCTCCAGCATCACCAGCGGCGAAAGCCTCAGCGTGCACGACAGCATGCCTTCGCTTGTAGACGACAGCGTTAACGGTAAGTCGTGCCTGTACCTTTCGTTCCACCACCAGGCTAATTTTATCAGGTAATGCAGATACCCCCCCCCCGTCCAATCCGATGCCTCCTCCCTCGGCGAGTGATCTGGCGTCCACGCTACGTTACCGCATCAACCGCTCTCGCTACGACACCGGGGAAGAAGATTCGTCCGAAGCTATTAGCCGCTTCCTCGGCCGCCCCCTCACGGACAGGATCCTTAGCTGGCGGCAGGATGTCCCGCCGGCTATAATAGATCATTAGCTCGTTTTACTTACCCATGCCTTGCCATTTATTACCGTTGTTATATTTTTCTCTTCATTGTCTGACTTGTATATCCATCCAATTATGAAAATTTCCTTTTTGGGCTGCTAGCGGTTGTTTGTTTGGTCCAGCTCGGCATCTCGGCATCCATCGAAAAAGGATGAGAAGCTAGCAACGGGCTTAGAACGAGTGTGGTAGTGAAGTAATTTCTTTTTAAACAAAAGACAGACATTGTGAGGAACGATAAAGAAAAAAAGCAAGCGAATAAAAGAAGGGCCATAGTGGGATTCGAACCCACGTGAGGGGAGTCACAAGAGGTCAACAAAATCACAGTGGTCCGATGCTTTAACCACTAAGCCATATGGCCGTAAAGGGATACTGTATATACTCAGACATATCTACGCGTAAAGTGAATGACAGATTTATTTATATGACGTGCGGCAAACATGAACCAAACAACCACTACTGCCCCAATAAGGCAATTGGGGCCGAAAACAACTGATAAAAAAGTAACAAGTCTATATAAAAAAATTGAGGAAAATCACAAGTCTTTTCAAATCCTGGATGCATCCATCCTGTTGTTTGGCTGCCAATGGATGCATCCACATGAGCTTGAGGCATGTGGATGCATCCAGCAGGCACCGATGGATGCATCCACATACGGTGGACACATCCATCAGGGAACCAAACAAAAGGCCATGGATCCATCCATGGGGATGGATGGGTCCACTAGCAGTGGATGCATCCAGCGTTTAAATAAAATAAAAACCTATGGATGCACCCATCTGGGCGTGGATGCAACCAGCATATATCATGGGACCAATGGTTGCATCCACCCAGGTGGATGCAAGTGGATGCATCCAGTGTTCCAATAAAATAAAAAACCTATGGATGCACCCATCTGGGCATGGATGCAACCAGCATATATCATGGGACCAATGGTTGCATCCACCCCAGGTGGATGCAACCATGGTCCACATGGTGGGATATGGATCCATCCAGGACTCCAAAAAATATAAAACATGGATGCGTCCACTGTATGTGGTCGCATCCAGGTGCGAACAGCATGGAGGCATCCATCTCATTTTTTGTACCCACTGGATGCATCCATGGCCTGTTAAAAATGCAGAATGGATGCATCCATGGCCCCTCAAAACGTGTAAATGGGTGCATCCACAGGTCCTTCTCCCTGGGAGTCTGGATGCATCCATGAAAGGGATTTTCAGTGATCAAATGTGATACAAACAATACGATAAGGCATGCAATCACGTGCTATAGCTACAATATGAAAGGCAAGGCTACCAGCTACTACGAGCTGGACCGAGGACATGCAAGGCAAGGGTACCGGATGTAACTGCAAGGCTATGGGGTTGTAAAATGTTACTGCATGTACGCACACGGGCAATGCTACGGAATGTATGCATGCAGACAGGGCTACCGAATACTGAATGCACAGAGGCAATACTACCGAATGTGCACATGCAGGCAATGCTACCTGATGCACGCACACAGGCAGGGCTACCGATTGTACGCACACAGGCAGGGCTACCGATTGTACGCACGCAGGCAGGGCTACCGATTGTACGCACGCAGGCAATGCTACCCGATGTACGCATGCAGGCAGGGCTACCAAATGCATGCAGGCAGGGCTACCAATTGTGCGCATGCAGGCAGGGCTACCGATTGTACGCACGCAGGCAGGGCTACCGATTGTATGCACGCATGCAGGCAGGGTTACCGATTGTATGCACGCAGGCAGGGCTACCGATTGTATGCACGCATGCAGGCAGGGCTACCAATTGTACGCACGCAGGCAGGGCTACCGATTATACGCACGCAGGCAGGGCTACCGATTGTACGCACGCAGGCAGGGCTACCGATTGTGCGCACGCAGGCAGGGCTACCGATTGTATGCACGCAGGCAATGCTACCCGATGTATGCATGCAGGCAGGGCTACCAAATGTGCGCATACAGGCAGGGCTACCGATTGTGCGCACGCAGGCAGGGCTACCGATTGTACGCACACAGGCAATGCTACCCGATGTACGCATGCAGGCAGGGCTATCAAATGCATGCAGGCAGGGCTACCAATTGTGCGCATGCAGGCAGGGCTACCGATCGTACGCACGCAGGCAGGGCTACCGAATGTATGCTGGACCAGAGACCATCCCCTAGCCAGCATCTACAGGCATCCAGGCAGGATATGATGCACTCTATACATGCCCAGAAGAGGCAGGATGAGTCCCAGCAGCAGGGCCAAGCAGGGGCCACGATTTGGGCCCTGTGGGGGCCCTGGAATCCAAAAAACGAGCTGGGCTCTGGGGGACGCTGGATGCACCCATATGCAGGGTGACATGACACCTGGGCGCATCCATGGTGGGACCAAGGTGGATGCATCCATCATCCTGGATGCACCCATACACATGGGATGCAACCAGGTTTCGGACCTCCTTAGGGCCCTTTACTCATTGACCGGAATGGTCCTAATGAGGTCTGATTTGAGGTAGCCTGAAGTGGGTTTCCAGGCCTCTCAAACACCGCTTGAGTACCCGTCGTCAAGAACACTCATGGTTGACTTCCGCGCTCTCAGATTTAACACGCAATATTCCTCACATTTCTAAATTCTCCTGGTCCAGCGGTCCTCTCAGAAAGTTCAGCAATAACACTGCTGTGCAGGAACATAACCTAAATCTCGGTGCTTGCTCCAGGAGCTAGCTGGCTTTTGCGACGATATCGACAGCTGTCAGAAGTTATATACACACCTAAGACTGTCAAATTTAGGGAAAGCCGAGGTGTTACTCAAACACCAAGGTATCAGATTACAACAAAACAGGCCTGAAATGGGAGTTCATTCGTGTAGTTTAAGGCTCACTGATTTTGCAACTCAGACTAGTTGAATAAGATTGAGATTCAGCTGGACTAAAATGAATTCAAAACACTACTAGTCAGATTACAAAACAGACCAGCTGAAACTCAAACCTAAATTATTTGTATCATCATTCATTTCAGCCCTCTGGAAATGCCAAGGTTCGGCTTGAATTGCAGCCCAAGCTGAAATGTGAAGCTAAAGAATTGATTTCAATTCAGCTGAAACTTGGATCACCTGCCAACATACAGATATCAGGGTCCCTGAAATTAATTCTTTCGGTCGGCATGTCAGTTGGACTGAAATTCAAGCTCAACCTGGGCTTTTGGGGGGGACTGAAATGTATAATGACACAAGTACTTTATGTTCTGGCTTCAGTTGGTCTCTCTGATAATCCTAAATGTAGAGGTTTCAAATTAATTTCAGGGAAATTGAAGTTCAAACTTATTCAGCTAGTTTAAAAGACACTATCAATTGGATTGAAACCACTCAAATCAGTGTCAGTCTCAGACTGATTTTGTTCTAACTCAATACTTTGGCTTTCAAATAGCACCTCGGTGCTGCCTAAATTTGGCAATCCTCGGTGTGACATCGTCTGGGGCTACCTTACGACAATTTCTGCCTTTGTTCCACCTGCACTTCGGCCTCGGCCACCGATGACACGTGCTTTGATTTGATGCGAGCCTCAAACTCCTCGAGGGGGCGAAATAAATTGATGTGAGGTTACATCTATGCATATAAACACATTGGGAATGTTCAGAGAAGACTGGTTTTTTTTCTCAGAGGGAACTCGTTCAAACTTAGGTATCATCGGATTTAGGTCACAAAGGCCGTCGGGCAGTAAGTCAGCTCTAGGGCCTAGAAATTTGTTCCTCTCGGAAGGATATGGTTTAGACTATCCAACTTAGGTATTTTAATTTTTGGTGGGGCGAAAGGGTGTGCCCTGCTCTGCGAAATGCTGGACCACCTTTGTGTATTTGTGTTTGTGGGGGGTGGGTCATCACGTGTGTTGATTGTGCCCGATCTCCCGATAACAACTTGAATGATAGCGCGCTTTGCGGCAGAGCCCACTAAACTGAGGATGAGAACAACCTGAATATTTGCCCAATATTCAAACTCCGCCAGATTTCCCGAATTCCCGATTACGTGAAACTCGTAGTTGAGGTCCAGAGGAAGAGAGTTCTGGAAAATAAGTGGAAGCAAAGTGGTAGGATTGAGACCATCCAATTGGTTACTTAGAGTCGGTGATAATGGAACCCCCAGTCTGGTGTGTCCCGGCCACTGCATTAAAACTCCGACATCGGCATGTTCAAAATTCAAATCAGACACAGAGCAATTGATATACGGCAAAATCAGCAGAATCCAACGGGCATGCATTGTTCATGAAGACATTACCTGGATGCTTTACAGCAGGCTGTCAGCAGCTCCGGCCCTGTCTTTGCAGAGCAATAGAGCGAAAGCCCCTGAAACTCGGTGCAACAGTCCCTCACAAATTCTTAAGCCACAGAAGAGGGGTGCTGGGACTCAGTTCGCTCACTGCCAGCATTGTCATGGTTATCCAAGATTGCATTCAAGGGAGGGGGTGCAGGAAGAGCTGGTCAGGGAAGGCCCTCAATAGTTCAATGGAGGTGAACTCCTACCTCAACAGAGGGATTTAGACATCTCCAGCAAAGTACTACAGCAATAAATAGAGGATAGGTCCAGCAACAAAGTAGCTCCAAGACCCAGGGCCGTGTGGAATGTCTTGATGAATGAACGAGCAGGTAACAACTGGAAACTAAAGACTCGAAATTCATTTGACATAGGCGGACCTGCAAATGTCATTAAGCACTTATTGCAAATAAATTCCATGATGACTGATGTCAACATACTGTTACATACAGTGTACACAGTGCAAAGATTGCCTGATATGTTATTGAATGTCATGGATCAGACATCATGAAAATATGTACATCTAACCAGAAAAGGGAACACTAGATGGTGGACAAAGGAGTAGATGGACCACTTGATGCCTTGAGATGTCCCAAGTGTCCCAAGCTGAGGATTATTGTTGTCAGACAATAACGGGCTAACTTGTTGAGTTGTAGCAAAATACTTTGTTCTCACTCATTTTTTCTCCAGTTCCATTTCCAAGGATTTCTGAGATAATCAACTTGCCATTGACAGACCACAGGTGAGTCTTACTGAGCCCACGGTTTAAATGCGGCTAAACCTCGGCGTAGCTCTTTGAACGTCTCTGGCATCTTAAATGAGGGTGTTCTACTCATATAGCCCCATCGATGTACTTGACTTGACTTGGTTTCTATTGTTATCATACCTGGCTACGAGTAGGTATGCGACAGTATGTACTACATAGTGTAATGGGGTGAGGGAGTATGTAAGAGAACTTTGTATGAGTAAAATACGAAGGATAAAGTACAGTATGTGAGATGGAAGATGTACACTGCCTTGCTTTCATAAGGTGAACTTGAGCTCGCAAAATATACTCAAATTACCCCAA